AAAAAAAAAAAAAAAGAAAAAAAAAAAAAAAAAAAAAAGTAAAGTAATGCTACTCTTCTCACCAAATTTTTATTTGAAAATGTAGTGGTTTTAAATAAAATATGCTAACATGTAATGAGTTTAGTTTTTAATTGAATTAATACTTTTTAAATTTCCTAGTTGAAATTTCTAACATGGTGAAGATTAATAATTCACATCCACAAAAGCTCTTTGGGGCCCTTAATGTTTAGTACTGTTAAAACTCATGAGGCCAAAGTGTTTGCACACTGCTCTGGAGTGGCAGTGCTCTTCAAAGTGTAGGGTGCAGTTTATTAATTATATATGAAATTAACTTAGTGGGTAATGATAAGCTCTAAAAAAAAAAGTGAAATGGCATAAAATCTAAAATCAGTGTACCTTGCATGTAAGGTTAAATAGTATTTTATGAAACTTTCATTTCAGTTTCTTGTGTATGTGCATTTATGTACATAGAATTGTAACAGTAATTGGGTCAACAATTGGAAAGCCTCAGCTCAGCAGAACCTGGAGCAAGGGGCAGGATATCCAGTGCTGCATCATTGGAAATATTTTGGAACAACCTGAGCATCCACACCAAGGGAACGGGCTATAAACTGTGAGAGTGATACAACAGCTCTGCCTATGGAGCACTGGGGGGGGAATGACCTAGGTGAGAAGGAAACCACGCATGTGACATTCACGTAACCAAATACCTGTAAAACCACACCTTATGTTCTCAGACATGCGTAAAGGCAAAATGTCTTAGAGTGGGTCAGAAAAGATGCACATGAAATTCTCGATACTGGTTGCCTCGGGGAAGGAAGTGGAGATGATGGGCCAAGAGACTTCAACAAAATCTACAATTTTATTTTGGAAAGGACTTCATACTATCAGTTGTCAGTACTCGTTGGTTGGAACTTGAGTGTTTGAGTATATTCTGTTCTTTTCCGTAACAAGTAGGCAGGTGCTGCGAGAGAAAAAAACCAAATAAATCAAAATGTGGGACATTTTAGATTTATTGTGATAAATAGTGAAAAATTAGATAAATAACCGGTTGTGATTCAGAAAATATGAAGTCGTAATTTATTGGCCAGCAAGGATTTGTGGTCCTGCTGGATGCCGGAACTCTTCAGGGGCAGAGCACATCAGAGGTTGCTGTCCCTGTGGTGGTCCCAGTCTAGGAGGTCACGAACGTTTCTGTGGGTGCGCACTGTGCGCCATGCACACGCACCTGGCATGTATTGTGTATTTCTTCCTCACAGCAACTGTGTGAAGTAGGTACCATGTTATCTGCATTCTGTAGATGAAGAACTGAGGCGTAGAGAGGTGAAGTCATTTGTCCTCTAGCCCAGCAGTGGCATGAGGATGGATGTTTGCAGGGTTGGTTCAGGCCAGTGTTCTTAAGGCCCTCTGTTTCAGCTTACCTAGGTTGTAAAGTGAATATACAAATAATTTTTGAATGAGTTAGTTGGGGATGGAGTAGCCTGATAAAATCCACAAGTGGTACTGAGGTATTGTAAGGCAGTAGTTTTCTATGTTTGTCCATTAAACTTTTTTTTTTTTTTAAACTAGCAATTTTACCAAGAAGCTATTGGACTGTCTTGTGTGTTCTCTCTTCCCAATAGCTTTGGAAGCAGGAAGAATTAGAGAAACTAAGGAAAAATGGGGCAGTCAGTGTTTTTCTCATTCTGGGACTTAGGATGTGTCTGCAGGTATTTGCAGCCCCTTAGCTGTTGGCGTTTCCAAGTGGAATGTGCAGAGGTGTTGCTCTGATGCTCTCCCTCTTCCCTTCCTAGGAGTATTTCCTGCAAGCAGAGCTGACCAGCGACGTTCTAAAGACGGGTGTGGCGTGCTGCTGCGTGGGTCCGTGTAGCAACGCCATCCCTGCAGACACCGTCCTCACCATGAGGAAGCTGCCCATCACCTATGTATGTGGTCTTGCCGTCTGTGTGATTTAATCCAGTCTTGTACATCTCATTGCATGTGCGCTGTGTGCTCTTCTGGCTGTGAGTGAGGAGGATGAGAGAGAGACTGGTGTAGTCCTGCATTAGGGGTTCTTCCTGGGCGAGTTTGAGAGTTGTGAGGCCTGTTCATTTGTTGGGACAGTGTGGACAGGAGTCAGGGTGTGCTACAGCCCTGCAGTTGGGGAGACTGGGTTGTGGCTGGACACTTAGGACGAGAACTGTTTACCTGCAGGGCCCAGTTTAGTTTGTCTTGGTTAGTCAGTTTGTCCTGGTCTCTGCTCTAGGGGAAGTCAGTAAAGTAGGGTCTGCCCTGGATGGGAGCGCTGTGGGAAGTGTCACCTTCGAGGGTTTGCACACGTGTATAGACCTCAGAATCATAATGTCCCTTGGCAGCTATGCCAGTAATTCAGCGCTTTTTGGTGGAAGATCCGGTTCTGTGACCGTCCGCTCACCTCTTTTCTCACCCATCACTCCAGAGCAACAGGAAGGAGAACAAGGGTGGCTACCTCTGCCACTCGTGTGCAGAGCAGCGCATCGGGCCCTTGGCGTTCCTGACCGCCTCCCCGGAGCAGGTGCGCGCCATGGAGCGCACCGTGGAGAACATCGTGCTGCCCAGACACGAAGCCCTGCTCTTCCTGGTCTTCTGAGGTTGAGCGGCACTCTGCACGGCCCAGGGCAGCTGCTGCGGACTCCAACTGGGGAAGCTGGCACGCGGTGGGCTCCCGTTCACAGGGCCCCGAGCCCATGCACAGAGCCTTCTCTGAAGAAGAAACCGGCCAGAGTTGGACCTGCCATCCCTCTGTCCCCACACACGGCCACTTTCCACTTCCTGTCCTCCCTGTGCGAGGTCAGGGAAGTGGGGATGTTCTTTTGATAAAAAATCATTTTATGTATTTGAACTTTTATTACAAGATTTCAATTAAACAGGCATTGCAGAACTGGCCCATCTCTGTGTGATGTCTGGCTTCAGCACTGTTGTGTTTGAACTTCTCCAACTTTTTCTTTTTCCCATTTGTTTTTTTTAAAAGCTCAGTCACCATTCACCTGATGATACACCAAGCGGAGTATGAGACTTCAGGCCTAGGGGGATAATTAGCCCATCAAAAATGAGACTTTGTGTGTGCGGTCACCCATGTATAAGACGTAGTGTCTGCCTTTGTCATTGTGGGGCTCACAGTTTAAACAGGGAGGTGACATAATGCTTAAAAAGACAAGTACACAGTGACAGTAGTTACACTTTATGTGTTTCCTGCAGGTACAACTGAAGGTCAGAAACACTGAGAGGGGAAGCAGAGGTGACCAGCCACCTGGAGGGATGGGGAGCCGGCAGAGGAGAGATGGGAAGTTGGTCCTGGTTCGCTGTGTTGGGTTCCTGGTGGATGTTTAACTGAAGGTCAGAAACACTGAGAGGGGAAGCAGAGGTGACCAGCCACCTGGAGGGATGGGGAGGCGGCAGAGGAGAGATGGGAAGTTGGTCCTGGTTCGCTGTGTTGGGTTCCTGGTGGATGTTTAATAGTTGTGCATTCTTGTAGAAATCGCCTTACAGAAGCACTCACGTCACTTAGATGTATGTGGGCCTGGTATCTAACATTTTCGTCACTCAGCAGTTTCAGGATGCTGGTGGCAGGTGGAGGGGTTGACCTGCACCACCCAAAGAAGTTACCATATTAGTACCCGTGCCATGTCAATCAGGCAGAGTCCAGGATCTCTGGATGTCAGATCTTCTTTTTAGGAAATCATCCCAGTTGTAGTTTGGAGGATGTTTTGAGAAGGTTAGATAAATTAAAAGGCTAACGGTTGTAATCTTGGCAAAAAATGACAGCTAACGGGCTGGGGGCCAAGGCGATTGCGGTGGGACTGGTGAGGAGGGAGCAGACGCACAGATTAGTGGTTCTGGAAGGGTGGTCCCCAGACGAGCAGCATTAGCATCACCTGGGAACCTGTTAGAAATACAGAGTTTCCGTCCCCAGCCCAGACCTACAGGTCAGAAACTCTGGGGTCAAGGCCCAGCAATTGGTATTTACCAAGCCCTGCAACCAGCTAGCTCTGAAGCACACTAAATAAACTTTGAGAACTTCTGCTCTTGATGTAAGAAGGTAGAATCAGTAGGACCCAGAGAGTGCTTGGATGAGGCTGGTGACTCGGTGACAGTCTCAGCACAACTTCCCATTTCCTGGCTGGTTCTCCAGGTAGATGAGGGTTTCCTCATCAAGACAGGGAAAATGGGAGATGCAGTGGGTGTGTGTGTAAGAACAATGATGAGTTTGGGGGTGCTCACAAAAAATCCAAGTAGACTTTTCCAAGAGGCTATTGGGTAAACAGGTCTGTACTTAGCAAGGAGCCTGGGGCTGGATATAGAGATTTGAGAGTTACCAGTACGTAAGTGGTAGTTAGGGAGGTTAAGTTTAAGGGTTTTGATGAATTCATCCTAGGAGAGTGTGGGGAATGAGAAGAGCAGAGGTCTGAGGAGCGAGCCCAAGCAGTACGAGGCTTGGGGTGCCAAAAGGTGGAGGGTTTTGTGAAGAAGAGTGACAGTTGTCTCCAGAGGGACAGCCGCGATGATGACTGTAACTGGATTCAAGAGAGGAAGGAGCTTGAGAAAAGGTGGCACTCTGCATCCACTGCAATAAGGAGACCGAGTGAGGTTAAGGTGATCCTTTCACTGTTGCTGTGGAAGCTGGTGGTGCCATAAGCTGGTCAGTTTCAGTGAGGCCAGACACTGGCTACACCAGGCGGAAACAGGGTGGGGAGCTTCTGGCAATTGGATGGACTAAACGTATGTCTTTATTTGATTTCTCCCAGAAACCATGCTAAAATCACAGTAAGAAATTTTTGGGCCAGCCCGTGGCTCACTCGGGAGAGTGCGGTGCTGATACTACCAAGGCCACGGGTTCGGATCCCATATAGGGATGGCCGGTTGCTCACTGGGTGAGCGTGTGACTTCCTTTTGGGTCTGCGGCCTTCTTGAAGCCCTGAGTCCAGTGGCTTTGGCTCTATTGTTCATTGGCTCAGCCCTTAAACTCAGTAACCCAGCTAAGGAACAAAAACTAGATTAAAAGCAACCTGTCTAACCAGATGGTCTCAAATACGATTTTCTGGCATTCAACTGGTTATTTTGAACAGACTTCTAAAATTTTCTTCTAGGCTCATCTATGTATTTCCTTGTAAAATCCTATGGTGAAATTCTATGATTTTATTTGATCTTGGCATCTTTAAAAAAAAAAAAAAAAACCTTTCAACTTATAAGAACAAAGAAAACAGGAGACAACCGCATAAATTTGTTAGTTGGCAAGCATATATATGTCCTCTAGGCAGGAGATTGATAGTTCGTTCTGCAGGGGTCTAACCAGCTTCAGCAGAGACATTAGAAACTCCTCAGGAAATAAGCCAACCAGTGGAACAAACCTAGTCTTCAAAAGCCTCCAGGTGCTCAGTTTCTAGAACATCTACTCTTAAATAGGAGCAGTGAACCAAGGATTGCCAAACATCTGAAAAGAGCCTCCAAGATGAAGGTTGGCTATCAAAACAAAATCTCCTTGGAGGGAATGGTCTGTGCGGGGAGGAGAAAACACATTCGTGTCTTTAATGTATTCAGAGAACAAGAGAAGACCGTGTGTCCGTGGAATGGCACAATCAAGAAACCTAAGTTGGGAAAATACCTAGAAAACAGAGCAAAAGCAAAGATTGAAGAGCAGGTAGCAAGCAGGAAAACAGATTAAGAAGCTGAGCATGTGCATAATAAGGGAGTTTTAGGAAGAGAAAGTAACAGAATTTGAGAAATTTAAAAAATCATGAAAGTTACCCAGAACTAATAGGAATTTCTGGCTTGAAATGCCCAGCAAAATGGGTGAAAATAGGCCTACAGGGAGCAGATTGTGGTGAGATTCTTAGAACACAAGGGCAAAGATCCTACAAACTTCCAGAAAGAGAAAAGCCACACATGAAGGGTCAGGGTTAGTGTTCAGATGACTCAGCAGCAAGCACATTGAGTTGTCCCTTCAAAACAGGGAAATGAATTCCAGAGAAGGATGCTAAACCTAGCCAAAGAATCAACAGAATAAGGGCATTTTCACTCTCTAAAATTTATACCTGCCATGCAGTCTTTCTCCTGAAGGTACTGGAGGATGTAATTCAATCAAGTGAGGGAAAAACCCAGATTGGGATGACGTTCCTCTGGAAACAGGGTGACCCAAAAAAGAAGACAATTATTAATTCTTTGGAAGGCAACAGTTGAACAGGAAAGGAAAGGTAACCAGAATCCCCACCCCACCCCCAGCTCAGCTGTATGCAACAGTGTTTTTGTAGTCTTAATAACGTCAGCATGTGGATTAGAGGCAGGGAGTTGTGTGAAAGGGGCTGGATCTCTGGCCTGCACAGTGGTAGGTCAGCTACAATTGCCAAAAGTGAAAAAATGGAAGTAGAAGCCAATGCGAGCTTATCATTTAGAGACACAGATACACACCAGGACAATAAGCAAATAGATTTTTAAGTGTTTTCCTTTTGGGAGGGGGAACTGGGGAGGTGGGACGCTGTTTTGGTGGGGCCCCATTTATAACCATTGGTTCTAAACTATCCCCTGTGTGACAAACTAAAGTATGAGTGGAAGTGAGGAAACGGGCCCTATCCGCGTGGACTGGTACCAAGAAACCCAGCTGGGAAGAGGTCAGATGGTCCGTAGGGGATGACATGGCCTTAGGGAGGGGTTTTTATTTTTAAAATGCAAGAGACCTGAGCATGCCCACATGGCAAGGGGGCGATAACAAAGAGGAGAAATGCAGATGCAGGTGAGGGCTGCCTGGTGGAGTGGAGGGTTCGGATACGAGATGTAAAGGAAACGAGGGGAGGTGCATGTTGTAAGTGGGCCGGGAGGAGGTTTAGGCAGCCCTCACCCAATTTCATTTTATTTTTTAATGCAGTTAGAAGTAAGGTCATCCAGAGAGTGTTAGAAACTTAGGACAGACGTAGAAGAAAATGGAGTGGAAGCTGATGAAAACCTCTGACTGCCGGGCAGCGTCAACCCAGCTGAAATGAACCACCACCCTTTTAGTAGATGTGCATTCTTTCCCCTGGAAGCCTAGGTGTGGGAGCACACGCAGCATAGGAAATGCTAAAGTGGTGGGCCCCACCTGGGACGTCATCCCTCCAGGAAGCTGGGTCACACGCAGGTGTCATGCACCCCGCTCTGTTGCACAGTGGCATCTGCTCAGTCTCTGAAGCAACTGATGGGACTGAGAAGGGGCTTCGATGCCTCCAGAATCAGACTTCCATCGTTTAACATTTTTTTTCAAGCCTCATCTTTGTCCATCAGTCCTTCCCTAGTCACCACGAACGTCTGGGTGTTTAGGAACATGAGGTTTACCGGGAGACAGCTGGTTGCTTTGGCTTTTCAGTGGTGGTGACAGAGTTCTCCAGCTTGCTGCCCAGACAGGCAAAGGCCTCGCTGCATGCATACCCCTTGCTGAGGTCCCTCTGAGCTCCTTAGCTCACGCGGTACGAGGGCTTTCTTAGCATTTAAGACGGCTCCCTTTCTCTCCGGGATCTTAATTACAGATTCTCCAAGAGAACCCAGTAGCTGCTGCCCTGTCCTCATTGCCAGTGATTTTTGTGTGTTTGTATATCTGGTGGCCTGGCCTGAGAGGTAGGACAGGAGGAGAGAGATGAGGCTTCAAACTCAGGTGTCTGACTTCTTCACTTCATCGCTCCATTTAACGTCTTAGTGAGGTCTCACATGTAACACATCCAAGATGCGGCTCCTCACCACCCCGCTGGCCCCACACGCTCTTGCCTGCCTCGGTGAGTGGGCAGAACCCCGGGATGCTGTGACCTTCCACTTCCTTCATGCCAGCTCCTCAGTAAGTGGTTCTGCCTTTACCTCTGAAACAGACCTTGCATCCATCCACGTCTCCACCTGCTCCGCCGCACAGGCCCAGGCTGCTGTCTGTCC